CCGGGGAGCCGCGCCGCAGCCCGAGGCCGCGTCCTGGGTCGGGGACCACAGCAGCAGGCGGCGGCGGCGAGCGTCCCCCGGGAGGCTTGGGACTGGGGGACTGTCTCCGGCTTCACGGTCAGTTGGCAAGGGAGAATTGGGCTCGGGGTGAGGCTGGGGACGCGGGTCGGGACCGAGGGCTTTGCCCAGGGAGAGGCGCGCGGCGCAGGCTGCTCGCTGCAAGTCGTGTGTGTGCGTGAGAAAGAGACGGACCCGGGTGAGCGGAGCCGGACATCGGGATTGGCCCGGGGGCTCTCTCCCCACTCCCCGCCCTCCATTTCCCGGTGCTTTGAATGGTCCAGGAGAAGAAGCCCTCTTCGGCTCCTTGTCGGTGCGAAGGGGCCGGGCGGGAATGGGGTCACTAGCCCGGAGGAGTGCTTATCCCTGGATCTCACCCCCCCACACACACACACACACCCCTCTCTCTCCGAGGACGAATCGAATGCTGGCCCAGGACCATGCACGATTGTCCGGATTGTCGCCAAAGTAGGGAGGGAGGGTTTCTTGGCCACTGGCGCTGGCGAGGGCATCGTGCACGGGCGCCCCCAGAGCTTCCCTGAGGGGACTGGAATCCCGGCTGAATGGGGGTGATTGCATGCGGAGCCACCTGCCGGGAAAGGAAAAAACCGCCAGGTCCGCACGGTGGCCTAGTGCAAGTCTTCGGGATCCAGACTGGATACCTGCAAGGTGAAGCAGGAGTCAAAGGAGTCCCATTAAGGCGGGGCAGGCAGGGTCCGGTACAAGTTTTAAAGGGGCCATGCGGCTAATTTGGAGAAAGTTGATCCAAAGTGCTTGGGTCTCGTGACTTCCGGATGCCCCATTTTTTTTTCAAATTTTTTTTTTTTTGCAGAATCTCCTCCCCTATTGTTAAAAGTGAAAGTAACCCAACTGCTCCACTATCCAAAGAATGCTGGTCTCAGTGCTAGTGGAAGGCAAGGAATAGCCCAGCTTCAGCCTGGGAAAGCTCCAAGTGCAGAGGGGGAGACTGGGGTAGGGCTAAAACACGAACAGTGTGCTTAGAGCAGTGATGGTGTCACCAATGGGTGCTGTGGGGCTACCCATCGGGAGATGAGTCAGAAGGGCAGAGGGAGGAAGTGTCCTAAGCACTTAACTGCCGGGCCCCAAGGGAAATGACCCTTTTTGTTCGTGGCCTGGACATTCCCAAACACACTGCCATGGATTCCAACTCACAGAGACCCTATAGGACAGGGGTGCTCACTTTCTCAGCATGCGAGCTGCTTATAAAATGATCAAGACAAAATGATCTACCAATTACAAAAATGCAAAACATATTTATATATATTACATTTATTCATAAATGCATTGAGAATTCTCTATATGTACAATGTATGTTTATGTACCTTGCATAACTGCACGAGTCCATATTGCACAACACAATTAACTATGTGCATTTTTTGTCATTACCTGAGTTTACTCTTATGACTTGCACTGAATGGAATGAGCCAGAGATGCAATAACTGCTGACAGCCAGCCTCAAGCACACTTCCAAATAATCATCCGTCATGGTGGAACGGTACTTGGACTTAAGGATCTTTACGTGGGAAAAGGCTGACTCACAGAAATAAGTAGAGCCGAATAATGCAGTCAAGGAGGTAGCACATTTTCTCATGTGTGAGTACTTTCCCTCTGCGAGTAAGGTCCAGAACTGTTCATGTGCTCTGGACTTAAGCTGTACGTCGACTTATAGTGTCAAAATCTCCCGTTCCGTATTCTTACTTGGTCCAGCTCCCCACTCCTTTTAATACATCCCCTTTCTTACGTTTACGAGGAAAAAACAAGGTCTAAAAATTGGCGATAACTTAGCTTGTCAGTTTTGCTTTACTTAGCGCAGTTGTTTGTGCATGCGTTTGACGCCTAGATTGCATGTGATTGGCTGCACTGTATATCAATTAAGTGACGGATTGATGATAGGCTTACATCTATTTTGTTAATGCCATGCGATCTACCCACACTACATTTGCAATCAAATAGTAGATCACGATGGCTGTATTGAGCACCCCTGCTGTAGGATAAGGTAGAGCTAGCCCAGTGGGGTTCCAGGACTGTAACTTTTCCCGGATTCGAAAGCCCCAGCTTTCTCTTGAAAAGCTACTGGTGGTTTTGAACTGCTAACCTTGCAGTTAGCAGCCCAATGTGTGACCAAGATGCCACGAGGGCTCCTTGTGAAAGTCTCTACGGCCTTCACTATAAAGGCGTATCCAAAGAAAAGGTGACTTACAGGGTTGGACTTTGCCCTCCAGGAAAGCTGGGAGAAGAATGTCATCACAGAGATAGAGATCTCCAAGTGTGGTTGGGCAGGTGAACTCTGTTGAGATAATATGGGCCTACTGCAGGTGAAACAGGGTGGGGGGTGGGGGCTTCGCAAAGTTCATTGGAAAATGGAATGAAAAGATCATGGGATTACCAGAAGAACCCTTTGAAGCCCCCTTCTGCTGTATACTGGCCATTGCTCAGGAAGGAAAGCCAGTGGAGGGAGGAGTTCTGGTTACCAAGATGTCTCCGGGGATTGAGGATTTTAAAGGTGTCAGCAAACTGGCAGATGAAAAAAGACAGAGCAAGAAAAGTCTGGATTTGGATATCGCGGGGTCATCCCAGCAGAAAAATCATTTTCTGTATGTTTTAAAAAAACACCCAGCATGTATCTGAACAGCTGGCCCGGGACTTCCTGCCAGAGAAGGGGCAACAGCATTGCCAACACTGCTTAGGTGGCACAGCACAGATGCTATTAGGGATGCTGTCGGGTGTTGGACTAAGTGGTGGTATAAGACGTATTAACAGTAGAAAGTTTATTTTAAATTCCGAACCCGCCCCCCCCAAAAAAAATCCATCTTCAGTAATGTTCTACTTAAATGTTTCTTGGACTTTTATCACTATAGTTGTGATCACGATTAGACTTTTTTGTAAACCCATACATTCAGAATGCTTTTTCTTAGCCAAAAATGTAAAGAGTCAAGGATGGGGAAAAGTTCCTTTAAACCAGCTTATTTTACCATCATCATCAGATTTGGGGGGAGGGGGAGCACATTACTTTGTAAGGCCTGTGAATTCTAAAACATGGAATGAACTCTTAATTTTTTCTAACACACACTTATATGGTGCTGATTATGTGCCAAGCACCGTTGTGAGCACCTTACAAAGTTTAACTTGCAACAGCCATTAGTCAGGTTATCACAGTCTCCATTTCATAGATTGGGAAACTGCCCACGGTCACAGGTCAGTAGCTCTGCTAAGGAGTAGCAGAGTCAGGATTTGAGCCCAAGTGGCCTCCCTCCTGGTTTCTGTGCTTCTCACTTGGCCTCCTCACAGGGAGGATCTGTTTCTTCAGTTCCCAGAGTAGTCGGGGGATTTGGGTGGGGGGTGGGGAGGGAGGCCAGGGGGCGGGGTTGTGTTTGTTAGGGAATTGCCAGCCGCCCTGTACACCCTATTGCTGTTAGTGGCTGTCGGTTCCCGCTCATGGCGGTGACCCAGTGTGTACAGAGGACTGCCCCATAGAGTTCTCCAGGCTGTGACCTTTGGCAAGCAGGTCACCAAACTGCACTTTGGAGGCCTTTCCAAGCGGGTTTGAACCACACCACCCAGGAATGAAACCAAGCCAAAGTCACGGCCAGGCCGTCAATTCCCAGCGGCCTCGTGGGACAGAGCGGAACTGCTTCACAGGGTTTCTCAGGCTGCCGCGTCTTTCCCCCTGTTGCAGACGGTGGGTTCAAGCCACTGATCTTTTGGTCAGCACACAAGCAAAGCGCTTTCACCTCGGTGCCACTATCTACCCCACGTACTGCCATCAAGTCAATTCCAACTCAGAGCGACTCTCGCCAGGGTCTCTGGATAACCAGCCATTCAACGCTCAGTGCCCTCTGTTTCCATTCCAAGAGAGAGAAGTCTGTTTCAGGCATCAACTCACATCCCTCGAGTCTGCTTTTCTAGAGGACCATGGAATGTGCTGCTGGTGGGAAGTTTCTTTATCTGCTTCAGCCCAACTTTCCCAAGGCTGTACATCCTTACTGAAGCAGTTAACCGCATCTTTCTCCTGAAGAGTAACTGACGGGTTTGAACCACCAGCCATGGGGCTCATGTAACCCACTACACCACCAGGGCTTTCTGATAGAGCTTCACTCCGAGTATCTGGTAAGAGCCTTCACCAGCAAAGTAGGCCAGGGACTCCGAGATACCAAGAGCTGAGATAGGTGTGGCATTCTGGTTAGGGTTAGGGCTAGGGCCAACCAAGTGCTGTATTCCCAGGATAAATATCTGGAAACTTCATACAGTCAGGAAGTGGTGTGTGTATGCCTGAGAGGTCCCTAGTGTTCTCATGGGCCTGAGGGGAAAAAAATTTTTTTTAAAGAAAAAGAAGAAGCAAACCAAAGGACAACACCAGCCCCAAAGGAGTGTGGGGGCTATTCTAGTTGTGGGAACCCAGGCACATGAGCTCTTGTCTGAACAAGACCATAAAGTACAGTCCTCAATTGAGACCCATGGTAATTAGAAGTGGGGCCAGCCCATAATAAGGTGCTAATTGAAGAAATAAATCAGTACCAATAAGGTGCTAATTGTACAGGTCAGGCATCAAGTGCAAAGAGGTGATGAGCTGCTGCCAGCAACTGGAGGGCAACAGTTACATTGCAGAGAGGAAATAATTGTGTCCCACCTAGTAGTGGTTAATTAAGGCAATAAAAACTAGTTATGGAAGCGCTCGGGGCAGGAGCAGCAGTCCCTGGTGCTGGAAGATGCAGACAGCTGGGAACATTGGACTCCCGGTCTTGGACTTGACTAAATGTCATCCATCTCCTTTACTTTTTTCTCCATTAGCCCAAAACCCAGACCAAACTGAAAGAGTCGATTCAGACTCATAGCGACTCCCCAACACCCACACCCACGCACACACAGGACACAGCAGAGCTGCCTCCGGGTGTCAGCAGCTGTGAGTCTGAGGCTGTGCCCATTTAGATTTACAGCCTCGCAAACCCACAAAGTGCCACATTTGTGTGCCCTGTAGAGCTGCAGGTGAGTGTGAACGACTAAACCTGTGGTGAGCAGCCCCAGGCCAGTGCCCCAGCACC